TTCAGGGTTGAGAAAGACACCTTTAATAGCTGGTGTTTAAAGTACAATTCCAACTACTTTTTTATGTATGGCAGTTGCTGTCAGGCTTCTACTACTATGACCAAAAGGACAGGATCTTTTTCTGGAACTGGTACACTTCATGTTTCAGACATGCTGGGTCACAGACCTGCACCTAAAGTGGAACAACTGCTTCTCTGTCTTTTGCTTTACCTTAGCTGACCTTCAGCAGTTTTTTTTCTACTCATAAATTTATAACATGTCTGGATTAGATGGTAAGGGCAATCATGGCAACTAAGAGCACTGAAAGAAAACTGTGGTGTCTTTTTCTCTCCAAATTGTGCTATCTCAGTCTAGTGATGTCTTTTGTTTGGGTACACATTGCACTCTGACTTCTCCATCTCTTGTAGAGTGTTATTTTGACTTGCATTGAAGGACTGAACTGCTGACAAGGTACTCTGAGCTCTCTTGTTTCAAACTTTCAGCTTTTTCTATAGCTCTTTTTAAAACCATTTTGCATATTATCAGGCTATCATGGTTAATATAATCCTATGCTCCCAATTTGATAGTATAATTTACAAATGTCACTGAGTACCTGAATGACAGTGAATAAACTGCTATTACTAACAGCCCCTGAATTTTTCAATGTAATTTTCTGTCTTTCTTCTGGCTGACCTGATTTATTCTTGAATAATGAACATGAGTGTGAGGAACTGAAGTCATTAAATCCTCAAACATTCATTGAACTGTTTGCTGCATTGATCTTCTAAGGAGGACTGCTAACATTGGCTCTATTTGTAAGTTTGATACTTTGTATAAATGATGCAGGCATTGTTAGCCACTATACCCTTGAAGAAGAGCTAAAAGATTGTTAAGAGGGGAACATCTACCCGAGAAGGAGCCAAAGGCTGGATGATTGCCCGAGAAGCATGAAGTCATCCAAAACCGGCAGTAACTTGGGGAAAGGTAAAGGTGGCAGGGGGAAATTGAAATTCAGTTGAACGAAAGGGTTAATGCACCTCGTCACCCCTCAGTGGATGGGCAGAACCCATACATGCTCTGCCTTTTCCTTGCCTCTCAGGCAAATGAGTTTGTGGAAAACCTGCCTCTCTGTCTAGTATGTAAATCAGCCGATAAAATGAACTTTACAAAGCCACAGAAAACATTGCTGAGTGTGCACCCACCACCCAAGATTACCAGACCAGAGACAACGCTGGAACCTGGGGTGGTGACCTGGATTCTTTAACTCTCTTTCTCTCCCTTCCTTTTTTTTTTTTTTTTCTTTTTCTTTTCTCTTTTCTCTTTTCTTTTCTTTTCTTTTCTTTTCTTTTCTTTTCTTTTCTTTTCTTTTCTTTTCTTTTCTTTTCTTTTCTTCTTTTATTTTCTTTTCTTTTCTTTTCTTTTCTTTTCTTTTCTTTTCTTTTTTTCTTTTCTTTTCTTCTTTTCTTTTCTTTTCTTTTCCTTTCTTCTTTTCTCTTTTTTCTTTTTTCTTTTCTCTTTTTTTTTTTCCTCTTTTTCTTATTTTTCTTTAGGTTTTTTTTGATTTTTCTTTTATCTTTTCTTCCCTTTTTTTTTTCTTTCCTCATTTTTCTTCTTTTTTTTTGTCCCTTCCCTTCCCTCTTATAGACTTATCAATTAAGAGGCCACATAACTTATTATCCTTTTCCAGGATTGTTTCTATCACAAATTAAACATTTTGACTGGTTATTTGATGTCTTGTCACCTTCATTTAGCCCAAGGGCATCACAAAACCTTTATGACTATCAGTCCAGGTCATAACAATGGGGCATCGTTCCCTGTGTACGTCCATTTTCTTATACCATAAAATGATTGATTTGGTGGCAGTTGTACTGAGGCATACTATGGAGAATGTCCTGAGCTCAGAGTAATAATCTGAGCAGTCCTTATGATGGGTATCTGATTTTCTTTGGTCAATGAGACTGCCCAGCTCTTCAGTCTTATTCAGGGAGTGCTTTTGAGAAAAACAGCAGACTGCAACTGGTCTCAGTGGCTGTGAGAGAAGTGAAAGGATGTATGAAATGATACATGGCTTACTCAAGTTCGAAAGAACACAGAATCATAGCAGAGGACTCTGTAAATAGTTTAGACCTTATCCTTACACTTGCTTTGCAAACAGATGTTCTTGTCACAGGAAAACACTGCTTCACATGTAGTCCTGGCTTTAGCAGTCAGGGAACAGAAGAGACCCACTAAACAGAAGCTTCAGTTCTCACTGACTTTGTTTCAGATATCTTCATTCAAATGTTATAATTACATCAGCACTGCTCCACCCTCTGTTATATGGCTCAAGGTCTAGGCCTGCTCCATTTCCTTCGAGTCTATTGTTCAGTCTGGATGATCAAATGAAATAATCTCTTTTCTGTATATAGTCCCACTATTTCTAATTTATGTCCTTCTTTATGCCATTCAAAACACTCCCTTTTCCTCTTCTGAATTCAAGACTTCTGACTTATCAGAATATACAACACATACAATTTCACAGTGAAAATGTGGATATGCTGTTTCATCTTAACATTTATTTAAGTTTTCCCATAGTTCAAACAAACATGAGATCCCATTTCAATGGATAAAATAAAAAGAAAAAAAATAAACCACTTCTACAAAGTTAGCCAGTGTATAGACTCTCTTATTTTACAAACCAAAAAGGTAGGAACATGTTACAAAATAATCACCAAACCAATCAATGTCAATAGTGCAAAGAATGAATTGCAAGTATAGGAGAGAGGGAGGGAGGGTAGAACGGATGGGAGGATGGATGGATGGATGGATGGATGGATGGATGGATGGATGGATCTGTTGAGTGGGTGGGTGGCTGAACAAAACAGGAAGGCTAGGAACAGCTATGCCTGTTATCACACAAAATTTTGTATCTCAGACAACTCATGATATAGATTTAATTTTAGTGGCAGAAGAGGGTAAGTACTTCATCCATAAGTGACCTCTGTGTGGTCCAAATTCTTATGCTGGCCAGTTCTGGAGATGAATACAACTATAGACATGAGCTGCTAAGAGTCACTTTTTCACCCTCTGGAACAGAGGTGACCTATCAAGGGCTTGATTAGTTTGTGTGCATTCAAGGGCCAAGGAAATTACTGAGAATTTCATGCAAGTAACACTCAGAGTAAGTACCTCCAGGCTGAACTTTGTACACTCTTTAGCATGCAGCTGCTCTCTATCCTGGGAGGTGAATGATTAAGAGGGAATTTTGGCAGCTACTAAGTCACGTGGACAGGTAGACCAACAGGTCTTGGATATCCTCTTGGATATTACTTGAGTAAATATGCAGCCAGCAACCCACCGAACTATTTCTGCAATGTTTCTTACGATACTGCTACAATAAAGAACCTAAAATCCGTCTCCTTCATAGGATGACTAAATCTGAGTCTAAATAAAAGGACAAAAATAACGTCAGTTAAACTATTTCTCAGCAGAATTTACCAATTTTCCTTTGCTAGCAAAGTGTCCATAGTTAATAAATGTAAGAGGCATTTACTAAAATAAGCTCATCTGCCCAGAGATGTTTTTCATCTTTACGCCTTTAAATCAAAGACTGTATTTTTCTAGGCAAAATTCCCTGCAATACCTCAAGTTGTACCACAGTACAAAAATGAAACAAAACCATAATGAGAAATAGAAAGACGGCTGAAAGTGGAAATAGCTTTGGGAAGTAAATGGGTGCTTAACTTGAAGGCACATTTCCTGTACAGAGAGTGTTTGAGTACTACAGAGCTTTCAAATAAAACAAAGGACAGTGATTATATCTTTCTCCAAAAGAGTATTAAACTGAAACTATTCAAAGAAATTCTTCCCCAAGATAAAAAATAATAGAATCCATCCCTACTATAGGCATAGCTTGTATCTAAATATTTCCTGCTACTATAAAACTGACTAGCCTCTCAAGCTTTTTTCCCCTCACTCCCATTAACAGCTTGTCCAAATTGCTACTGTACCCCTATGAGTGAAGAATATATCGTTCATGTACATAAAGTTCATACGTGACAGTATCTAACACTGAAAAATTGGCACTTTTAATCACGCAAGAACAGCAGAAGCCTCTAAAAGGGCACTTAGGATCCCGGTGATCAAATGCTCAGGGTTCGTAATGGTGATGGACTGAAAAAAGAATTCAGTGGTGACATCTGGTGATATCAACACTAGACTTTCTAAAGATTTTAGTTGTTCGTGTTTTTTTGAAAAATCAAACTACTTACTCTGTTGCTTCAATAGGAAATAAGAGCTTTTGAAACTCTGGCCAAGGTGTTCATCCTAAACTCCTGAAAATTCAGTGGCAGGTATATCGGAAAAATCTTATCCAGAGATCAGAATGGATTAAAATAGCTTTTTTTGTAAACCAGAATGCTTTTCCAGTTTTGCCTGCGTAACTCCATGAGGACTGGAAGAGTTACTTCTGTCATACAACTAACTACCTAAGAGAGATCAGAGTCAGGCCCATAAATCTTTCTTTCATTCATTAACTTTGAATTAAAAAAAAATCAGTGATGAAAAGGTAGAGAAATTAAGCAAATTCAGAAACTTCCAATATGTACATCTTTCAGTGTTTGGGGCATGAAATATTCTGTGGCTGAAATATGATACAGACTGAATAGTCTAAGAATTCAACAGAGATGGAAAATGATATTGCTTTGATTTTCTACCCTCTTTAAGGAGAACAACATAATTTTGTTTATTTGCTATTACTTATATCTGTTTTCAAAGGCTGGGGGTCAAAAGGCAAAAATCCAGACACTAAGCCTACAAGATCAGAGTAGGAGATCTCCCAACTGTTTCTTTCACAAAACATTCCCACACTTCCTCAGCAACATCTCAGCACTCTTTCAGCTTGGTTTTGTTGGATTTCTTGCTGATCCTTTTCAGAAACTGTACACTAGGAGCTGCAGTGAAAAACAGGAAAAACACCCAGAAGTTCTTTGAATGCCTTTGAAAAGAGTGAATTTTGTAGAGGAGTTGCCATGCAACTCATCACAGCCAGACTGTAACAGAGCTGAGAATCAGTCACGAATTCAGCCCCATCTCTCAGATATTTCACAACCTATACAAATTACCATTTCATAAATAATAATGCCTTGCACTTTATTGGTAATTTTAATCCACTGATCTCAAAATGCTTCATAAAAGTTAATAGCATTCATCCATTGACAGAGAGATGTTGCAAATGCTTAGTCCTGACTGGTGTGTTCCAAGGAGCAACCTGGGCTTCAGTAGGACTCCCTGCAAAAGAGTATTACATGCTTATTAAGCAGTCCTAGAAGCACTGACACTTTACTTATTTATAGTAGTGTACCCACGTAAATAGATATCACTATATTGACACAGACCTGAAATTTAGGTGCATATAAAAAGGCATTTATAAGTTCCCTATAATTTGTTTTAAACTCTACCACTACCAGTTTTAGACTCAGTGTAATAAATCTCATGTTTTATTTGGGATTTTAACATTGTAGTGATTTTTACAGGAGTCGCAGTAAAAGTAGTAAGTTGAAAGTGTATTAATTTTCTGTTATATGAAATGTAAAATAAAATAAATTTATAAATAGATTTCATTTTAATTCATTATGATTTTAAATTACATTGCCAAGGCTTTCCAAATGTGGGATTTCAAAGTCAGAAGTAACCTTTCCAAAGATAAATGATCTAATAATTTAAAATTACCCCGAGACACAATATTATATAAGCTATGGAAACAACTACAAAAATGGGTCCTTTGAACGCTGTTTTCTCTGAAAATATATATGAATGAGTGACTTTTGTTTAGAAAGACGTTTTAAGACTTGCTGTTTCTTTCATCTAAGTAGAGATAAAAAAAGTCTCCATGATGGAAGCTTGTTGTTAATGTCTGAAAAGAGATTTTGGGTCCCAGGTAGTGGGGGTTTTATAAAGATACAAGTTACTTATATTGTAGGTGCAAGATAGAACATGAAAGTAATATTGTGCTGGACAGACTTCCAAGGATTGTCAGGAAGGCAAACAACATTGTCTATCAAAATAATTGTGTTCTGCCATTTTCAGTAACCACCCACATTACCCATCGAAGAAAACATATTTAAAAAACCAACCCCAAAACCAAACCCCGATGTTTTTCCTTAAATATCTTTCTAGGCAGGAATGATCTAATCTCAGCCAAGTCCCTCCTGTATCAGCTCTATTATAACACACATTCCCTGTTACTAGTAGCCATAACCATGTTCCATCAAGATAATAGAAGAGCCCAGACAAACAAATACAAATTTTAAGAAACTGTAACTTGTGCAGACCCCAGGAAAATGAGCACAATGACATGTTGTTCAGAGAATGAGACAGGAAGGGGTGAACAGAAGAACAGCTACATGATTAGCTGTCCTATCTGTAGTTCATCTGCTTGGCCGGTTGCTATGTTTAGGATGCAGAGTTTATTGATTCTCCAGAATGATGCTCAGGATTTTCACTTTGTTGACCACTTCAGAAATGAGATTTTACAAAATTTTTCACTTGATGTTCCCTGGGTTTTATCTGGCAGTTCAGAAGGAAGTGGATCTGCCAATGACCGAACCAACAGGCATACAATAGAAATGCTTAACACAGGAGGGCAAGATTGTAAGTGAGATAAAGGCTGCTTTCTGGTTTGGCTGTGATGGTGGCCAGACCATACTTCAGTGCAGAACCTAGATGTTGAAGAGGCAGAAAAGGCAAGCTTGACTGTAATACGAGTCATTCTGTCTGTTCCCCAACTGTACTTAAATCGTTCCAGAAAAAGCCCATGGGTCCGCTTCAAACAAACCACTGATGAGCTGCTTCTCAAAGTACAGATCATCACAAGGAAAAATAATACTCTTCCAGAGCATTATTTTAAAAGTAGTACTCCATACTTTTCAAAAGAAAAAACACCAAAACCCTGCAAATCCTTTCTTCCACGTCTGTTAATTTGACCACCCCTTCTGGGACTTGCAGACTGATCTTCCTTCACTGCATAGCACATTCATTAACATTTGCAGTATCTTCTCCCTTCAGATCCTCATTCAAGCTTCTTTTCTGCTCTATTTCGACCTGGCAGAGAAAAAAGAGGGAGAACGTCTGTAATGAGAAAGGTAAATAGAAGATACAAAAATCTTCCTTAGTAGTGGTTCATGTCCTCCTCAGGTGAAAAAACTCTTGGTACACTGAAAGGGTTGTGAAGAGAACACGGGGAGGGAGGGAAAGCTGGATTTTGTTTACTGTAAATGTTTTCAGTCTAATCCAAACAGTTTTATGATTCAACAGTTATGACATCACATCCAGAAGAGATAATGTCATGCAGAGAACCAGTATCACATGATTTTGTATACATTACCATCCCCAGCTGTACTCTGAATGCAAACCTAGAACCAAATCTGCAGAGAATAAGTGGCTTCCTAAGCGACAGCTGAAGGCCAGCCTCAATTTTAATCTCTAGAGACTGATTCAACATGTTCAAAAACTCAAGGATAATCCCATGTTTAATTCTTAGAAGGGATACTTAGGAAGATCAAATACTATCTCCAGGGAATTTAAGAGACTACTAAAAATGTCATTGCAATTACCATTAAAATATTTGCCATGAGAATCTTTTCAGTATCTCTCATTTTTGCTCTTGAAGAAAGCAGGTAGGATGCTGACTTCTCTGCTGAGTGATCAGCTAACACGCAAATTTTGTCATACTGAGATTCTTGGCAGGTATATGTATAGTGTATTTTCCCATCTGCTCCTCTTCTTAGGGAAGGCAGGAAGAAGTATTATTTAAGCAGAGAAATAATGTGATCCTTTTGTCTGCTGTAGCACTCCCACTGTAGCTGCGATGAAGAGCAGCCAAACTCCTTGCTCACACTCTTACTGTAACAGCTAATCCCCAGCAGCTGGCTGTGTGTATCCTCTTCCACAATGCAACTGCAAGCAAGTTTACTCCATCTTTGCTGAGGGATAATACACTGCTTGTTTGCCATGAATCAATAGGCTGCACACAGGTATCTACTGCACAGACCCTGGCATGTGCCAAATTCCCACCTCATCTGCCCATGGTATTTTGTCTATTCACACTTTCCAGGACAAAAAAGTATGAAAAGTAACCATGGTGACAGCCACATGCTCAGTTTTACCTTGTAACTGTAGTGTGCTGAATAGTTGACCCACTTCCTCACATCGGTCTTGTCCTCAACAGAGATGGACCGAACAGTGGCTTTGGATGCAGAAGTGGTGGGCATGTCAAATTCCACATCGACATAGCGGACGAAACTGGAAGGCACTTCCCGGTCAGAGCCAAGCTCTAGGTGACAGAAGAAGCAGTGAGGATGGCCAGAAGCTGGAAAAAGAGAGCAAACAGACATGAAAGTTGTGTTGGATGGATCAGAAAACACAACATCTAGGAGGAAGAAACTGCAAGAAACAGAATCTGCCTGCATGAACTAGTTTGTAACAAGTGACAGTATATTACCTGTTTCAATGCTGTTGGAGTTTCCAGAGGAATAAAACAAACCGCAAAAAGGACTGGCAATTCCTCTAGTTTGCTTTTAGTGGGTGAAAATACAAGATGTAAATCGAGCATAATAGGGTAAAGGCATTTCACCTTTCCTGATTCCCCCAGTGTATGTAACATGCCAAGTACTTTGTGGCACATCCTTCTGAAATGTCATGTATTGAAAGTAAGGCAAGGTAGGATTTGGCAGATATTTAATGCTTATTTGAAATTGTTGTCCCCATTTTTAGCAAAAGAAAATATACTGGGTAAGGTTAAATGCTGGCCTGTGTTAATAGAAGTGTGACCAGCAGGTTGAGGGAGGTGATTCTCCCCCTCTACTCCACTTTTGTGAGACTCCACCTGGAGTGCTGTGCTCAGCTCTGGGGCCCCGAGCATAAGGAGGACATGGACCTGCTCGAGTGGGTCCAGAGGAGGCCACAAAGATGATCAGGGGGCTGGAGCACCTCCCTTACGAGGACAGGCTGAGAGAGTTGGGGTTGTGCAGCCTGGAGAAGGGAAGGCTCTGGGGAGAGCTTATAACGGCCTGCCAGTACTTAAGGGGGCCTACAGAAAGGATGGGGAGGGACTTGTTATCAGGGGGTGTAGTGACGGGACAAAGGGTAATGGCTTTAAACTGAAAGAAGGTAGATTTAGATTGGATATAGGAAGAAATTCTTTACTGTGGGGGTGGTGAGGCACTGGAACAGGTTGCCCAGAGCAGCAGTGGTTGCCCCCTCCCTGGAAGTGTTCAAGGCCAGGCTGGACGGGGCTTTGAGCAACTTGGGCTAGTGGAAGGTCTCTTCCAACTCAAATCATTCCATGATTCTATGAAACAACTTTCCTGGTTTCAAAAAAGCAAATTTGTGCACAGCTTGGAAATAATTGCTTATTGTTTACTGTAACCCATGACAAGGTGGCCAGTCATTAAAGATGGCAAGGTGAGGAAGTAATCATGTTTAGCTCTGTCAAATAACCCCTGTTACTATTTTTCCCCTTTTTAATTTTTAACATCACTGCTGTCCAGAAAAAAAAAAAAAAGTAGGGACTGCTAGTTAAGCTAGGTTGGTTTTATTTCCGATTGCTGCCAACTCCCTAAGCTCTCGAGCAAGTAATTTAAGGTCTGTGCCTCAGTTTCTCTGTCTGCAAAATGAGGATGAGAGCCTTCAGAGACACGTTGGACTTTCTGACTGAAGAGATCCTATTATCTAAGTATGTGTAAATAAAAATGTATAAAAATAAATGAATGGAATCCTTGTCTGCCACTATTATAGGATTTGGAATTTCTGACTATTTGCTGATTGGGAAAGTTCTCCATCACAGCTCATTGAGAGTAGAGGACAGAGACAAGGAAGGAGGAAGGCAGGCAGAGTAAAAAGTACTGGGTGGGGAAAGTCCAGAAGCTCTCTGGGAAAAGCAGGAAAACATCAACTGCAAAGGGCTTGCAAGCCTGGGCCTTGAAAAGAAAGTCAGCTCCTCATCCAGAGCTTAGTCTAAAAGTCAGCCTTGTTGAGCTGAAGCTCTGAAAGCAAGCTGTGAGATTATACTACTTGTCCCAGTAGGATGAAATTGGGCAGTCTTTAAAGGGTTTAGGGATTTCAACATCCTATTTAACCTCTGAAATAGAGTTGGAAAAAAATTTGAGCTTAGTATAAGTCTGGGTCAAAATTTCATCTAGAGTCAGGCGCATATTGCCAAACAGTCTAGCCAGAGTCCTCTCTGTTTATAAACTTACATCTGTGCAGCAAATCCAACAAGAGGCTATGCAGATCAGCAGGGACCACAGAGATAAGCAGCACCACAACTGGAGCCAAGTTATGAATGTGTGGGTGCTGTATGAAGCAGATATAAAAGCTTGAGTTCTGCAAGCATTAAAATACATCACCTGCTTTTCATCTGAATTATCCCAGGCAGAGTGCTGACTTGATTACCCTGGCTCTAGAGTGAGCTGGGATCTCTGACAGTACATCCCAGCTTTTCATACCTGGAACACACTTTTTCTGGATAAAAAGCAGTGCTGCACAGCAGACCTTCAAGACCACCCACCATGGCCTAGAAGCAGCCCCACATGCTCTCGGGGTGATCACTGTGCCCTCCAGCACCGCAGGGCTTTTGCTTCTGGCCAGTTCTGTTCACTAACAGAAAACACCACGCACAACACTCAAAAAAACTATGAAGTTATTGATTTAAACCAGCTCAGTATGGTAGTCATTAATGTGAACTCACTAAGAAAGCAACTCCTCCACTGAAGCTACGGCAAAAATACAAAGCACATGAGTGTTCATTAGTGTCCCAAGTGTGAGGCACACAAGGCACAACTTCTACAGACTTTTTCTTTGTTCAACAGGCTCATTCAGAGCTCTTTCTCTAATGGACAGGTACACTTTTTAGTAAAATCAGAAGGGAAACCTAGAATCATAGAATTATTTTGGTTGAAAGGGACCTTAAAGATCACCTAATTCCAACCCCCCTATCATGGGCAGGGACACCTTCCACTAGACCAGATTGCTCAAAGCTTCCACCTGGCCTTGAACCCTACCAGGGAGGGCGCATCCTCAGCTTCTCTGGGCAACCTGTTCCAGTGCCTCACCATCCTCACAGTAAAGAATTTCTTCCTTACATCTAATCTAAATCTACCCTCTTTCAGTTTAAAGCCATTACCCCTGGTCCTATCACTACACTCCCTGATAAAGTGTCCCTCCCCATCTTTCCTGTGGGCCGCCTGTAAGTACTAGAAGGGCACTATAAGCTCTCCCTGGAGCCTTCTCTTCTCCAGGCTGCACAACCCCAACTCTCTCAGCCTGTCCTCATAAGGGAGGTGCTCCAGCCCCCCGATCATCTTTGTGGCCTCCTCTGGACCCATTCAAGCAGGTCCATGTCCTTCTTATGTTGTGAGTGGGCCCCACAACACTCCAGGTGGGGTCTCACAAGAGCAGAGGGGGAGAATCACCTCCTTCATCCTGCTGGCCACACTTCTCTTGACGCAGCACAGGATACAGTTGGCTTTCTGGGCTGTGAGAGGACATTGCTGGCTCACAGTCAGTTTTCCATGCTCTAGTACCCCCTCATCCTTCTCCTCAGGGCTGCTCTTAAATCACTCATCGCCCAGCCTGTATTTGTGCATGGGACTGCCTTGACCCATGTGCAGGACCTTGCACTTGGCCTTGTTGAACTTCATGAGGTTTGCACAGGCCCAGCTCTCCAGCCTGTCCAGGTCCCTCTGGATGGCACATCCCTTCCCTCCAGCATGTCAACCACAGCTTGGTGTCATCAGCAAACTTGCAGAAGGTGCGCTCAATCCCACTGCCCATGTCACCAGCAAAGATGTTAAACACCACTGGCCCCAACACCAACGCCTGAGGAACACCACTTGTCACTGCTCTCCACTTGGACATTGAGCCGTTGACTGCTACACTTTAAGTGTGACCATCCAGCCAATTCCTCATCCACTGAATGGTCCATCCATCAAGCCCATGTCTCTCCAATTTAAAAAGGATGTCATGAGGGACAGTGTCAAATGCTTTACACAAGTCTAGGGTGATGACGTCAGTTGCTCGTCAACAGGCTGCTTTTGTTTTGCACCTCTTGTTTCCTTAAGCTACTAACATTTCATTCTGACATTCGGGGACCTGATAATATAATTCATGTATGTGGATGGGTTACCATGATTTAAGGGAATTTGTTCCAGACGATTCTCAACATGTTTGGATTAAAGGATTTAATTTACTACAGAAAGTATGCCAGGCAGCATGCCTGGGATCCACAGCCAAACTAGAGCAAAGTTCAAACATTCAGATCCAAGGCTCTACACAGAGGCTACATCCCTGCTTTGCTGGAAGATTGATCATGTGGGCGTTCTCCTAGTGTTGTGCTGCTGGATTAAAAAAACTCAAACATGTGGAGCCCAGTCAGCTGCAACTGAAGATCTGCAGAGCCTGTAGATAAGCTTTCTTTATCAACTGCTCTGATAATATTAACTGTGAATATGAGAAGGGAAATAAAGATTAACAAGCTGTTTTGGAAAGGATTATAGCAATGTGCTCAGTAGAATCCAGTCCATAGTTTTTTCTTACGTCAAATCATAGTCAGAGTACGCACAGTCCTTCATTTGTCATATGCTTTTCAATGTCCAGTCATAAGCTTTGGATATGAAATAATACAGACAGTGCTGATAACAAGTTCCTATAGTAAGAACGCAAACGGCTCCATCCCATTAGAAAGCACAAAGAGAAAAGATTTGGATAAGACAGTGAAGCTGCTGAAATAATTCTTAACAATTTGGGTGTTAGGATACTACAACCTGAATGCAAGCAATGAGCTTCACGAGTGACTGGCTCTCCTGCCCTGCAGGGCTGTGGTACTGGCCATCAGGGCAGGCCACAGGCAGGGCTGATGGTGTCATATGCCTCACATCTACATAGAGCTTGCACCCGTGTCTATTCAGGGAGTGGAGTGAAAAAAAAAGAGGTCCAAGTGGCTACCTGGAGACTTCTGGAGTTCCTGAGATCACATTTGCAAGGGACTGATGTGTCAGTGCACACAATGTGGATGAATGAAGGGTCCCATTGTGTGTGCCTACGTATGCGCTCCTTTGATAGGCACACGGGTCTGGCAGATACGCATGTGTGAAGGAGGGAGTCATGATATGCATATGCTCCAAGTCATGTGGACAGGTTGTGTGGCCTCTGGAGGCAGGGTGGAGCTGGAGACTGTCGACACCTGCAGCATTTCCCCCCAGCTGCAGTGCAATCCCACTACCACTCTCCTGCGTTGGAGTCCCAGGCACAGAGCAGTTCATTAGCAGATCAGACATTTACAGAGGACCCAGAGCACTCTTAGGGGCAAGCTGCAGGTGCCTCAGTAAGAGATGATGAAGTATGAGTTAAGAGAATATTTTTATACTTAGTGCTTGAGAACTGCATCATTTATAGGGACTTCTGCAAATAGGTAGAGGTAATTATTACATGACTTGGGGGTAGGGCTGGATACAGCCAAGCATGCACAAGGTAGGCCACACATCAGTATCACATAGTCAGAATTGTATGTGGTCCATCACGCAAATCTGAGAAGAAGCGACAATCAGTGCTTCTGTATATCCCTCTTTGTTTGCCATATACTTTGAGTATGGAAAACCATGGGACAAAGAAATGTAAATAGTCCCCGAGAGGCAAGGTCAGATTTAAGCTATACTTGGCCTGCCCTGTCATCACTTTGGGTTTTCCTCCCTCTCACATACCTCATATGTGTCCTGGCCAAGAGAGTGCTTTGCAAGGCCCTTCCTTTCCCTGAAATTACATCTGACCTGACTGGAGGGGTTAGGATACTCTCTTCCTCTCAGGATGTAAACAAATACTAACTGCCCTGCATGCTGCATGGTGACACTGATGGATAGATGCTCTGTGGCAGGGCTCCAGCAGCAGCACCAAGCCTGTGATGCATTTCCCCCTGACACTGGATATATATAATAAAGCCTCACACTGGGAGAGACAAGATCAAGGAAACAAGAGACAAAGATCAACATCTCCCTCAAAGCAGCAATGGGTAAAGAGCACCACCCTGCATGAGGCAGCAGAGTCATGAGTTCTGCCTCTCCTCCTGGTTTGCTACCAGCATGTTCTGTGATTGTGTTAAAGTCTGGAGGCTTTTGTTTCCCCAGCTGTAATGTCTATACGTATACTGAGATCTTTGGAGAGAAGATGCCACAGAAGGCCCAATTTCACAGCATCTCATTCCCAGAGCTCATGCAGATGGCATAGTGAGATTTTCCTCACAAGCATGTTACTGCTCATAAACAGTCTGAGGTTAATTTTTCATTGTGGTATTTCTCTTGAGTTCCCAAGCTCTCTCTTATGTCCGACACTACAGAAAACATGGAGCCTTCACTTTTGTCAGTGATATTCCCAATTTGTAACCTATGGTATAAACTAGCATCCTTGGGCGGAAATCTGATCCAAAGGATTAGAAGACTTGGATCACTGTTTTGCTGACACTATAGCTCAAACTCAGGAAAAATATATGTCCTTAGAAAGTGTCAAAGCTAATAAAACACTGAACTTTCCTTCAGGGAACACTGAATACAGAAACCTTCCCCAGTCACCTAGCTGCATTACTACAGCATTAATATTAAAAAATCCCTCTCATTTGCAAAATGCTAAGTCTAGATCAGAGAAATCAAGGAGAATTCACTATGAATAAAAATAAATCCAAGTTGTCTAGCTTTATTGCACACTATGGATGAAACGCAGGAAATGGAATAACTGGCAGCAATGCAGCAATGGGAGACCAAGGCCAAAGGGAACAGTAGCTTGCCCATATTATTTGAACGTTTAATTATGAACATGTTACTAGAAATACAAAGACTTGTGGGTTTTATGTTGGTATTCTCTCTTCAGGTTTAAGCTGTGTTTACCTGCCTGCACCGATTACAGAAACAGCCACAAATTGGTTTTTGGAAATGTCTTTTTTTTAATGGCTGCACAGTATCTTCTGTCCTCACAGAACCCCCATTCCAGATACTTTATAGGCATTAGTTGTGGCATATGTGTTGAAATGGCCCAGTATGCTTGGCATTGCATGGAAAAGAAATCACATGTGCTGGAACTACAGCAATTTAACTGGTCCTGTCATTCTGCCCTGTAGCATAGTATCTTGCCTTTACAAGTTACCTGAAAAAGCCCTGCTTCCCATAACAATGCTAAGCACAGAGATGTTGGATGCCTAGGTCTCATAATGTACTCATTAAAGCAGAGACAGAAGGCATATTTTTGCATTTGGAAAACCTAAAACTGTTTTTATCACTAGCAATGTTTGTAGGATACGTAACACTGCTGCGATGAAGGGTTAGATAAATGCTTCATGCAACTAACTGATGTCCTTTGGTATACTGCAAAGGATGATTTATCCCTCACCATGTAAACACAGTATTCCCTATCTTCCAAAATACATAACTCCTTTTAGTTTACACCTGCAGAGATGGTATGCACCACTCACCTGAGTTTTTGTCAGGCAGGCGGTTTATCCTCCACACGATGGAATTAAAGGCATGCTCATATTTGGCAGTTCCCAAAGATACTCTCATTACTGGCTCAGAACCAGACAGACTGGTTGATCCAAAAGTGGCCCCCTTGTTCACCTTGGCTTTCAAAGATTTCTCCCCCAGCACGCTCTCCCTGCGGAAGTTCTTCACCCACTCATTTGGCACTGGGTAGCGGATCATCACGTTTTCACAAGGGACCTGAGTTAAAGGGTCACGGTTGGAAGAGAATCCAGTGGACATCATCAGCCAGCTCTGTACCTCCACCTCAGCACCATTGATGCTGGCAGCTGTCCTCAGAGTAAAAGGTAAAGTTTTCTCAGCAAAGACAGTTCTGAATCTCATTAGTTCAAACCGGCAGGCATCCAAGGGGTTGAACAGGATAATACGGGAGTTATTAAACATATCCTCATCCACACATGAATGGAACCGACAGCTGTATAATTTAATCCACTTAGTGGTAGTAGTGGGCATAATATCCTGCCTTGCAACTATTTCATTCCCTTTGATCAGGATATCATTAAGGCCCAGCCTGCATTCTGCCAGGCCAGAAAGGAAGCTGAGAACATAGATATGGGTCAGCACACTGTGCTGGAGAATCACACTGTCTCCTTTGGCCAAGATGCCACGAAACTCATCCCTGACATCAACCGTGATTTCTTCTTCTTGATAGTTTAGTCCCACTGTGCTCAGATCTGTTGATGAGGCTGGCAAGTTCATCAGCGTGTCCTGTACAGCACTGATGAAGCTAAGGAAGTCTTCATAATCTGTAGTCCCAAGCTTGATAATTTGCTCTCTCTCTGCTGTGTGAGCAATGGCTGGTTTAGGCTGATACTTCTTTTTCTCCTTGTAGGTAGTGCGGTCCAAACGCACACTGTGTATCCTTCCATTCTCATCATAGTTCTGGAGTTTGCGCTCTGAAATCTCATGATTGATTTCAAGTTTGAATTCCCGAAAAGGTTTCTCCAGTCCCTTCTCATAAAAAAGTTGTATACATCCACTGTCAGTCAGCTTGACATATATTGGTCCCCAGTGCCTGGATGACATAATATTCTTCTTCTCTGGTATCCTGAGCATCATTGGCCATCCATCCTTTGGCTGAGCTGGTGCCAGGTTAAATAAGGCTGCATCCAGATCATATGGCATCATGGGGTCATCATCAGGCAAGGTAGGGCTGCTCACATCATCTGGGTCTCCAATCTGGAGTTGCTTGAGCTGCTCTACAGCATCTGTGTGGGTTACGCTTTTGTTTGCCTCATGGAAACTGATGGTGTCAGGCTCCTGATGGAGAATAATGAGAGAGTCTCTTTGGCTTTTGCCTGGAGCACTGGAGACAGATGAGCTTTTGGAACGCCTGTCTCGCTCCTCAAAGAATGAACTGAATGGGTTGATGGGTGAGGGTTGGACATCTCGTAGAGATTCATCCAGGAAGGGATTAGTAGCACTCCATGGTGGTGTTTCAACAGAAGGCAACTTGGTTAAGGAGGATAGATCTAGTTTTTGAATTTTGGAGAGGTCCCCCAATGTGCTTTTAGGACGTTCTCTTTTCTTAAAAGATGTAGTGAGGTTAAAGTTAACATCTGGAGTCTGTGTTTCTGCAGGTGGGGTGTCTGTTTTCAAGGGAGAAAGGTTCTGCGGTGAAAAACTGACTTCATTGTCATCAAAAGTCACCCAGCTGGGAAAGCGAACTGTGGTTGGGGTAGATGAATGCCCATTCATGGAGGTGTTGTTCACCTGCCAGTTGACAGCCTCCATATCTATCTCTTCATCTTCCTGGAGAGACGAGGAATTGTCTTTAAAAAAAGAGGGAAGGGGAGAAAATTCAGCTAATTATTCTGAATTTACCTAGTTCTCTCCATGAAAAGAAAACCACAGTCTGCACAATAGTTTGCATGCTCAAGAAAGGCTTATTCATATGCTGGGCAAGAAAGATAGTCAAACAATTTGGCTGAAATGCTGAAGAGTCTGCTGAGAATTAATGAAGAAATAGATAGTTGAACACAGAAAAGGAATGCAGGAAGAAATACAAAAGGAATGACAGCAATGATTGTATTGCTCCCATTCCAGCATAATGACCTAAAAAAGAAACTGCCCAAATATTGTAGCGATTTTTTTAAAACTTCCCTCTCTAAACTTTCAGGCTGCATTTCTTCTCTCCACTTGTCTTCTGTCATTTGCCTGTTATGTTCCCTCTCACTCTTGTTCTCATTTTTTCCCTTTCTGTCCCCATACCCTTTGCTCTAGAGAAGAATCCAGCAGGGAGAGGGAATGAACGTTGAGGAAGAGCACTTCTCCACTCTGTCCACACATACTTGTCTGTGCATTTGCTGTTATCACAAAAGCACACAGGAGCACAGTGAAGGCACTATAAAAGTTGCCTAGGTGGCATTTGCCCAGGATGTGTTCAGCAAAAAGACTCTTTGGCTTACACAGTGGGAAATAGTTTGCTAGTCCTTGAATGTCTCTGAAAAATCCCTCAGAGAGGCTGTAATCTAGGGATGTACATCAAGATAAGGAAAAACATATTTTTGACTTGTATTGTGGAAGCTGTCCTCATCCTCTGTCAGGACATGGCACCTCTGACTGCTATATTCCTAGTCTCAGGCTCTGTCAAGACACTTCCCAGAAGCCTGCATCATACTGTGCTATTTCAATCCCAGCTCCTTCTGGAGGACATAGCTGCAGTGGTATTGAGGTGTTTTCCAAAATGAGGATAAATTCTCATAATTCAGAAATTAAAGGGTTTTCTTCCCATTTTCTTCCCACTGGGCTAATGAATCACAGTGCTCCTCAAAATGAGCAGCCAGCATGAAATTATACTCTGCAGCTGCACCATGGGTTTGCTCTACATATGGTACAGCAGCGCTAGCATTTGTGCCTTTTCCTTCTGATATATAGACGTCATGTTTTACACAGGTCACTGTTCTTCAGTAGAAGTAGAAAAGTGAGTGTAAAATGTAGCACTCTGGTATGGCTGTATACCTGTGTTGTGAGCATATTAGCCACAACAGCAATTTAAGTCATTTAAATTTCCACCAGTTCTCAAAAAAAAGATGAGCTTGATTTCAATTCTGCCTCAACCACAACAATTTGTCTATTCACTCCAGTTACCATTTAGAATATGAAATCAGGAATATTCATGTCAGCCAATGTTCTGCCATTAGCTTAAGTTCACCCAACCTTTCGATCCAAGGACAAAACGTATCATGCAAGTTCTAAGGGTTATTATAATTGAGAATTATATATGAAGCAGAATGGTACCAATTCGTTTTTAAAGCCACAATAATAACAAAGAAATAACAAGGACAGCTTCTACAGACTATCCATGCATTTCAAAGCATATTTGAAAAGAAGTGGCACTATCTCAATTTCTCAGATTTTCTTCTCTACCCTGCCATTTCACTCCCATCTTTGCACAATGCCTCTCTGCGGTCCTTGCTACTCCTTGGACCACTGGGTACAGTGATAGGTCCTTTGTCTGTTAAATTTGGGGGGGGGAACCAAACCAACTGATTATCATCCACAACCACACCCTAAGCAAGAAAGTAATGAAAAAACCATCAAGAATAAACCAATGTTGTTCCGATCCTCAGGTTCACAACAGTCACTTCTATGTTGTCTCTGCTTTTCCAGTGCTTGGGTCAGCAACTATGTAATCCTTTGAAGTAAAGCAAAGACAATAAAAAGATGTATTAAGAGTTTCTGTCTTTATGGTATTTCTGGGAAAACATTCCCCATTTCTTTTAGGACTTCTAAAAGTCCTGTGTTCAGGGATTCTTAAGATCAGGGTTTCTTAAGAGTGGACCACCTCTTCCCTGCCCGCAGTTATAGTTTTCTCCTTTCCTGTATCTTAGTTTTTGAATTGCAGAAACTAAATGTGATTTCACAAATGTATTAACATCTCTGGTAAGCTTGAGAGATGCAGATGAGAAGACTCCTCTGAGAGTCCAAGTGAAAACCACACAGAAATCACCTGAAAAATTTCTAAACTGAACAAGTTTTACAAAATTAATTGCTTTTTTGATCCATATGCCCAGAAATACAGCAGAAAGCATTAAGAGAAGATGGTTTCATATATGTAATCATTTGTACAACTTTATAGAAAAAAAAATCATTAAACTGTTATATGCTTTAGTATGTGGAAGTGTCAAATCTGGAAAGTGAAATAATCTTTCATTTGCAAACTAAAATCAAAAGTACATTCTTCTGCTGCCAAAGAAACATATGGATGGGTTTACAAATATTTGAAGAACACAGAGGTGATTCTAGAAAAAACAGGGTTTTTAGCTTTGTCTGTAGTCCTTTAGCAGGGAGGATAAAAATAACAATATGCTAATACAGCTAAGCATCCAAAGAAAGTTCCTGAGAACTAGATGAAATAGTGTGTGTATCTCAAGAGAAATATTGGAACCTCTGCTGCAAAGGCAAACACAGCATGGTGAAAAATCTTGACATCATTGGATGGCTTAGACAATTCAGATTTTTCCCTTCTTGACTTTTGACAAGTTCCTGAATATGGGTGATAAAAGTTTAAAATGTGAATGTCCTTCAATTTGGCAGCACCCCAGTAGGTCTAGGAGTGGACACTTAAGAAGGCTATTCCCTAGCTGAACTTCTTGCTTTCATAACTGTTTTCAAAATTCCTTCCAACAAAATAAAACAAGACAATAGCTTGCTGATGGGGTGCAGTCTTCAACCCAGAGTGACTCCTGACTGAGAAAGACTAGATCTGCATAAAAAAAGGAAGGGGCATCAAAACAAAGCACTTGTTTTTCCCTTCTTGACCAACTTAGCTTTCCTAAGCAAATGACTCTGATAGGTGTTTACTTTGTAAAATTAAAATATCTTTTAATTGTCTGACCTTGCCAGATTCCAAGCTGACAGGTTGCTCCAGCCAGCTACAAAACACAGGATCAGATTTACCAAGGAGGTGAAGGGGACAGTAGCTATGTCTACTTTCCCAGTGACACCAGCAACATGTGAGCTCTAGGGCAAGCAGCCTCAGGCTGCCCACACAACTATGCATCTCTGCATTCATTCTCCCACATAAGTGGTGCCTGCAACCAGCACTGGCCATACCGTACATGCCTGAATATCATTACCAAGCCATTAAATAATTTGGAAACTTAAGTCCCCAGTGAACGATAAAATGCCAACCTGCACTGTAAAGGTTTTTTTGGTCCACAAGCCTCTTAATGTTTTGTTGGCTTTGCAAGTGTTCAGTAACAAAATGGTTAATTATTTCAGTAGAATAAACTGGAAAACAGCATTGTTACAATGGATGTAGAGCATCTCACTGTGATCAGCTTCTTGTGACTCACTACAAAGAAGGAAGTCTTTGGTTCTTTGTTGTGTCACCTTTCCATTTTTCTATTTAAACAATTTTGGCCAAAACCACCAGGTAGTGTCACGTTACTTCTGTCTGGGGGAAAAGGCAGCCATCCAGCTGCTAAAGGACACTGATACTGCAAACTGTTCATGACCAAAATTGTGCCACAGAAGCAGGAAGATCTGAGAGTGTTACATACCTTTCAAAAAGAAAGGCAGATAACTTTAAGAAATGGATCTGAACAAAAGCCTGGATTCTCAAATTTCTCAGTACTTGTGTGCTTTTGCTTCTTGAGAGAAATTAGCTCAAAATCTTCATGGTGTGACTCTTTCTGTTCCCTGAAAATATTAATTTTTAATTAATTATTAATTTACTTTTAATTCAGACAGCTCAACTTTACACTTTAGTCTGTAGTACAGTCACACTGTTAACATGGTCACACATGCTTTCCCATGGGGTACTCACTTCCTTGATGTAGCCAACATGAGTCCCTCAGAAATCAATTGCAAGAATCTGCAACTCAAAGCACAAAAGACTTCTCGTCAATGGGAAGTTACTACCTGCTTATTTTGCACAGAGGATATCCCTGTGAGGGTAACAATTACCATGTGCTGTCTGGGTACCTAGGCTATCATGGCAACATTAAGGGAATACCTAGAAATGTCCTCTCCCAGTCTACAGGACACTTTCCATGAGCTTCAGAATAAACTTTAGAGACAGAAGAAGAGGTGGTCACCATGCCTCCTTGCAAGAGGATTATGGTGAGGGGCTGAAAAACCCCAAACCCTTTGACCACCAACACCCAACAGGGTGGGACACAGGTTTGCAACCATTCCTGCAGATTTTGAGTGTCTCTGCAAGATCGTGATGTGTGGAGGAGATGCTGCTCACACAGTCCTTGCCCTCTGCTCCTGCTGCTGAACACACCACATACAAAAATTTAACAGCAATCTAGTTTTCCAGCATGTTGAACTGTTAATACAAAAGTTATGGTTTTAACTTCACACTTTATGGCACAGCTAAGAGAGTTTTCAAAATCATCACAGACTAAGTAACCAGCAGGAGAAGGTGCAAGATGAAAGACAAGTCACAGACCTGATCTCTGTGGTTCCCCTTTTTATTCCTTCTCCTCCCACTTGACAGGCTTCTCAGATCATATTGAATGGATGCATCCTTAGACAACTTTTCAGTTCATCATACACTTTCATACTCTATCACTACATCTCTTTGAACCTGGGTGTCTAAATTTAGGTCATGTAAATCAGCAGCCTGATTAAGCCTAGTGTAGTTTTATCTCAAATCTGCAGTACTACATAGTCTATTCCCAGCAGTGGGTTAATAACTACTTATATATCATGCCTGTTGCTTGGCTAACTATTGCAAATTCATCACAAGTCCCAGAAGAAGTTTAATTGTCAAAAGAAGTTAAATCATCTGAAGTTACAAAGAAGTTGTATCACAGAG